AGATGCTGGCACAGGGGGTGAGGGAGATAGCCCATGGAGTATTTTATGGTCCGAAGATGGAATTAACGGCACTGCCATACCTATGTCGAACCCAGCTAATAAAACTTTATGAGTTCTTACCCATGAAATATTTTGTTTATGTCACATGGCTCTAATCGAGTGGGTTTTTTCCTCTTTCTTCACTTCCCCACCCCCACCCTTTTCCCTGCCCGCTTTGTCTCCTGAGGCCTAAACCCTCTGGAAATGCATTAGTTACCTAGGAAACCTTAATGTCATTTTTTTATGAGTGGAGTTTGGTGCAACATAAAGCTAATTTATAGGGTGGTTAGGAATTCATGTCATGACTGGTGAAATCGGAGACTTTATTAGGATTTCTCTATCCACCTGTGTGGTAGGAATACGTAACTTCCCTCTATTATTACAGGTAATTTCTTGAAACATAATTATAAATCTGGATGCTATTTCATAAGATGAGCTGACCCATTGTTGTTCCGTGTAATTCATTCTATTGTTCCATGTACGCTCCAGAGCATAATTAGCAGTGACACAAACCAAGAATACGCCAGGCAATCTGTTAAGAGTTAAAGAACACCGTGTCATTTCCTTTAAAACGATGAGGTGGTTCTGCCTGAGAGGCAAAGACTGAATAAGATGAGATTTTGAAACCCTTCCACACTGTCCTCCATGCTGGCTGAGGCCCATGTTAGGAAGCGACACAAATTCTCAGCATGTCCACCACTTCATTCTGCTGGTTTCCTTCTGTCTTTGTCCAAAGGGGAAAATTTACACCCAGGAAGTTACATTCATGAAGTGTTTAAAGACGGCTTGCAGGTAACAAAGAGGCCACTGCAGAGTCAAGCTCTTTTCTCGAAGCTGATCCCCGACCAGGGAGTGGCAGGGACTTCAGGGCAAGCACTATTAGATTGGGAGTTGGGGCTCCCCTGGTGTCAGGCACTGCGCTAAGTGTTTTAAATAAATAATTAAATAAGTTCATTTGAGCTTCACAACACTCCTGGGAGGCTGGCACTGCGAAGCCCAGAAGCTGTCCCAAGGCACACAGCCGCCAAGGGGAGAAGGCGGCACGGAACCCTCTAAAATCCCCTTTCGATGGGTCCTACTTCCTGATCGTCACTATGCTTGTTCTGTTTCCCTGGAAAAAGTCACTGCCAGGCTGAAGCCTCAGATTCCTCGACAGTTACACACGAGGTGGGGACACGGAGGCTCCTAGAACTTGACCTCTGGTATCCGCGCTCTGTCCGAGATCCGTGCTGATCACAGCAAAGCTGCGCTTTCTCAAGATGATGGAAACCGTAGGGAAGCCCTGGGCTTGCTGAATAAACAGAAAGTCACCCTGTTGCTGTGGACAACTGCACCCATTTTGAAAAAACAGAGAGTAACGCCTCACACAGGCCTCTTCAGGGCACTTGGGCCGGGTTGCTAACGAACATGGTGCTCATGTGACCTTCGGCTAAGCCGTGGATAGGACGTGCGCGGTGACGGGTGGGCAGCCAGGCATCTCCTGAGTGCCAGGAGCCAAGGTAGCGCACAGTCTTCCCTGACCTTAAATGGCCAGTCCCTGTGCAAATACCTTCTGCATTCACTAAATTGTTTCAGAAACATGGACTTTCAGGCTCCACTGGCTGAGCAGCCCTGGGAGGGAGCGGGAGGGGGTGGGAGGGACAAGGTAGGGCCCGAACTTCCCCACACTGCCCTCCAGCAGCAGAAGATGCAACTTGCAAATGTTTTAGGCTCAGCTGAGGAGTGGAGAGCTTGGCAATCTCAAAGGCGGGGGAAAAGAAAAACAAAAGACAGTGAGAGAAGGCAAAAAGTCAAGGCTAGCTAGTTGATCTCGAAGAAAAAATCACCCAGCTGGTCTTTGTCATGTACATCCCCAAGGAGAGGGTCCTTGGAGCCACTCAGCCCAGTTTTCTCATTTCCTGGGTCAACACGTCACAATGAATTAACCACAGACAGCTACTACACGAGGCCACACGCCGAGCACCACCGCCCAACACACAGTCCGCTTAACCGAAACGTCCAGGGCACAAATGCTGCTTTTCACGAGGTGAGAGCCCGCTTCCTGCCGACAGTTCTGTCTCGTTCCTGTTCAGTGTTTCAACCACAGAGTGGTGCTATTGCAAAAGAGAAGGGTGGGCCGGAGGCGAGCTCTGGAAATTTTGCTTTAGGAGAGAGTTTTAAAAGGGACTTGCAGACACCAGACCCAGTTCCTGCTCTCCCCAACCCCTTTCAGGAGTAGGGCCTTACACCCAGATGTAGCAGGGAGAAAAAGAAAGTTCAGCAACCTAAAAATACAGCCAACAGATGGGCGGCCCAAGCCAAGGCGGCGACCAGGGACTCCCCTTGGAGAAAGGATTCTATAAAGACTTAGTTCTGGATGGACTGCCCGGCACTCAGCACCACCTGCAGGGCACAAGCTTACGTCCCAGTTTTGATCTTGGCTTTAGCTCTCTGGGACCACTCAGATCTGTCTCTATTTTGAAAAATGGGTTTGCTGAGAAGTAACAACGTTCAGAAGTTTCAAAACGATCCTATATTGTACACAATAATCTAATCTATCTTTTCAAAAATACGCCTTTTTACTCCTTTTTCTGGCCACCCTATTCCCTGATCACCTTGTCACTCCCTGGGAAGCCAGAAGGGGGACCTGGACATCGGTCCCAACTGTCCCAAAGTTGAGGAAGAGAACATTTAGCTCTGAACTAGAAGGACAGCAGTAAAGGAGAAGGCAGCTTGCCGGTTCAAGGAAGCCTGTCTTAAAAAAGGCCCTCCACAAAGGAAAAGGCCAGTGGCGTCCATTTGGAGCAAAAGCAAGAAAAGTGCATCTTTCACCCTCTGCCCTAGTCTGGTTCTCTCCTCCACCTCTCTCCTCCCTGAGCCCCTCCCTCCCTTCCTTCCCCTCTCCTCCCAAAGGCACCATGCATATTTGGCAAGATTAAGGTGTCACTTCTCATATTACAAGGCGTGTTGACTGCACTCAAAGACAGACCCACCAGCTCAGGACAAAACCCCCTCGAGCTGGGAAACAGCACAAACTTCCTGGGATCACATAGGTCCTTCCTGGCAAAGTGAGGCGGCCAGTCAGCGCCCCGGCATCTGCAGAACAAATCGGCCTTAAACTCACGCTGCCTCCTCTCTTTCTCTCTCTCTCTCTTTTTTTCCTTCTGATTTTTCAAATTTAAGTTTGCCCCTCTCCCTTCCCCTCCTCCCTCCAGACTGCGGGCTACCCAGGAGCTGCTGGCAGATCAGCCAGGACTTGTTTTTAACCCATTCCTCGCTGTAGCAGGAGCCAACCACCTCTTCCCCTGCAATTTTTGGGTTATCAGAGGACCCGGAGCTCCGGAAAAGAGCCCCTAGAACTTGGCCAGAGAAGCTGAATCTGGGGCCCGAGTTCCTCCTTTGACAGCGCGGCAGCAGGGGGGTGGGGGGTGCAAGTGTGGATAAGTGGGGGAGGGCAGGGAGGCGGGCCAGAGCGGAGGGAGAAAACCAGGACCCAGCAGAGCACGCCCAAGCCAAACCTTCATGGTGCCGAGCGCCGGGTGGAGGCGACTTCTCTGGCCTGGAGGTGGACCTGGACATTCTAGCACGAGGGAGACACTGAGGGAGGACCCTACTCTTCCAGAGACCGCGGGAAGTGCCCTCCCTGGGCCTCAGTGGGCACTTCGGCCGTTTTCGATGTGGCAGCCTCCAGCAGCCAGGATAATGATGAGGCAGGTACAATCTATCTAGTAGGCAGCCCCCAGCCTCCCCCTCCCGCCTTCCCTCCCCTCGGACTGCAGCCTCTCTCTGCGTTGGTTTGGCCTGGGCTGGTAGGTACATGCCGGTACTTCTTGGTGTTTGATCAAATTCACGAACAAGTCAAAGAAATTTGGATGTTTTTAACTTGGATCCCAGCTGAAACACAGAGTGGGTTGCTTACTAGACCCCTGGAATGGCAGGGCAAAGGGGGAGAAGTGATACCTACTCACTCCCCTCCCCCAGTCGCGCGTGAGTCAAAAGGTCCTGGCAAGAGACTAGGGCGAGGAGTGGCCGAGATGGCAGGGAGGAAGAAGTGGGGGGCTCGGAGGCGAGGCGCCCTTCGCCACAACTCTGGGAGCGGGTAGGAGGGGGACAGGAGGGCAAAACTTTGTTGAGAGGTTCTGGATTTCTCACTCACCCCTGAGGGGCATTCCCCCCCCTCCCCACTTCTCTTGATGGCAAATGAGCGAAAGCAAGATGACTTAACTCGGTAAATTTAGAGAGCTCCAGCCCTGCACAAGTGGGGTCTAATGGGCAGCTAAAATTATCTCGAAATAAGAGATTTTTGCCCCTGCCCGCCTCCCCCCCCTCACCATCCTTTCCTTGAATAATCTACTGGTGGGGAAGTGGGCGTCACCACTTTCGGGACTCTAAGAAAGGTGGGTCTGTCGCCTGTCTTCCTGCTCCCCGCACTGTCCCTGCGTGCAGACCGGTGGGTGCAGAGTGGGCACTCAGCCGCAGGGCCTGATCCTCGTTTGGAAGGAAGGGGCTTTAGAGAAGGTGGAGGCTGCGTGGAATGAGAGGCTCCTCTCTCATCACCCTCTGCCTTCCGAGCTCACGCTCTTGCTCGCGCAAACACACACGCACACAGCCGCCCCTCCCTGGGTCCCCGACCCCCCACCCCGTACCTCTCTGACTGGATCCCCACGACTGTCTGCAGCGCCCCGGGTGCTGGTCCTGGAGCAGCGAGTACGCTGGGGAGCTGTGGTCCCGGGGGCGCACTCTCGTCGCGGGGAGAGGGAAGGACTGACGGTGGGCTCGGCAGGGGGAGGGGAGAGCTCCGGAGCTGCAAGGGTCTCGGGTTCTGAGGAGGAGTTTGCACATTGGACCCAGCTGCCTGAGGAAAGGGGCAAGAAAGGCCCTTATGCTTTGCAAAGAAAGACCTTACATCAAAAGAAAAAAGAAGACCCCAAAGACTTTTTCAAGGAGAAGAACAAGTAAGGCAGGCTGAAGACATTAACGTGTAAAGCGCAGTGAAAAGTTAAATACTTCGTTTCTTCCTGGATCTCTAAAGGGGGAGATCAAGGGGTATACCGAAGCCTCCTACTGACTCGGAAGTTTGGGGTGTTTTTCTTTAAGAAAGGTTAGGGGAGTTGACCCCGTCCCCTCATTGGTCCCCGACCCCCGGCGCAGGGGCGCTGGGGCGCAGGCGTGCGCGGCGGACCGGGCGCGGGGGCGGGCGGCGCGGCGCCGAAGGGGTTAAGGCGCTGAGCGCGGAGCCATCTGGCCGGGTTGGCTGGTTATAACCGCGCAGATTATGTTCACGGGACTCAGAGTTGAAGGCTCCTCTCTCTACCGAGCAGCTCCGCGCGCGGCCCCCGAGAGAGCCCGGCGCAACTACTTTCTTCCTTCTCCTTTCTTTCTCCTTTTCTTTTTGTCCCCTGCTGGGTGGTGGCGGCGGCGGGGTGGGGAGACTTTGAATGACCGAGCTCGCGTCCACCTTTCTCTTCATGTCGACGTCCCTGGAAACAGTCACACGGATGCCATGGTTACTTCTGCCACGGTAAGGGGAGGCGGGCGTGCTGGGTGGGCAGGTTCGGGGCTGGGGGGCTCGGTGGAGGGGCTGGCCGGGGAGACCAGCGCGGGGCCCCGGGCTCCGCACCCCGCCCCCACCCCAGCGCTCCGCGCTCTCGCACTTTCCCCGGCTCGTGCCTTCCCGAAGTTTGCGCCGGGGTCTGCCCAGGCCCGGGCGCAGGCACGGCCGCCCCCGGCACACCCACGCACACGCGCGCGCGGACACTCCTCCCCACCTCCTCTCTCCGGTCCCTCGGCTGCCGGAGAAACCGCCCAGTATCTGGGAAAGTGATCAGGTTTAAGGGACCAGGATTGGAAACGGGGGGGCGGAGGCGAAGGGAAAGGGGGACGACGGAAGGCCAGGAAAGGGCTTCGGCAGAACCGCCAGCCCCCCACCAACACACCCGTCTGCTCCTGCAGAGACGGCTCCCCGCGCATCCCGAAACAAAAGGGGGTGGCAGGCGGACGCGGAGCAGCGGGGAGGCGAGGGTGCCACAGTCCCTCCCCGCTCGCGCCCCGCGCCCGCTTGGCCACCGCACGGACCACTCCGCTCGCCCGCCCCTCCCGGGCCGGACGTGGGCTGGGGGAGGGGAAGCGGAGCTTGGGACCTGGAGAGTCCCTTCCCAGTTTGGGGAGTTGGGACTCCTCGCCCCGCGCGGCTACCTGCTGGAGTCCCCTTGCCTCGGCTCAAAGCTTTCTCAGGAACAGCCCCGCACCCCGGGCTCGTCCCGGCCGGCGGCCGCCCCTCCCCGAGTCTCTGAGCAGATGTTGGAGCTGCACCGGCGGCCCGCGCATCTGGGTCCCCGCCGGGGAGCTGCGGGCAAGAGGGCCGGGCGGTCCCTGGGGAGTTCTGGGGAGGGGAGGTGCTGGGAGGCCGGGGCCCGGCGGAGCTAGACTAACACGGACCCCCAGGGGCCAAATTGCTCCGTTGCCGCAGAGCTCTAACCACACTCCGCAGGAAATTTGGGACGCTCCGAGTTGAAGGTTGGGGAAAGGACGGGCTGGGGTGAGGGAGGGGACCCTGCTTGTTGCTCTCGGGTGCGAGTGGGTGCGCGGCGAGGAAGCGCTGCTGCTTTGGGGGAAGTTTGGCTGCTGGGTCCCTCAAAGGCACGGAACGGGGATCCCAGCGCCAAACCGGGTGGGGGGCTGCTGACTAGTAAGATCCCTCTCGGATCCGTGGCTGGGGGGCTCCAGGTGGAGGAAGCCCCGAACTAGACCGCCTCGGTCTCGACCTCTGGCGGCGGGCGGCAGGTTCGGAGTCCGACTGCAGGCAGCCGCCCGAGGCAGCCCCGGCGCCGGGCTCCGAGCCGGGCTCCGAGCCGGAGAGCTGGCGACTGCGCGCGGCGGACTTGTTTATGTGTGCGAAGAGCAGGGGGCGGGAGCTGGGGGGGTGGGGCGGGTTAAAAGGGGGTGGGTGTCACCCCCGGACTCAGCCACTTACAGGCTGTGCTGGGCAACCTGCCTTTTCACGCAGAGATGCCGTCTCCCACTCTGCAGCATCGAGAGCAAGCGAGAGACAGCTAAACCCTCTGCCCCAAGTGTCAGGATGGAGAAAGCTGTAACATGAGGGAACTTTTCAATCGGTTCTGCTTTCACAGAGCTCAGAAATACTCCAGCATACTCAGCCTGCTCACGACTCCTGCCCCCCGCCCCCGACACAAAGAAAGTGGAGCGGTAGGATTCAGGGGATAAAATCCAGCAGCCCCCGCCTTGGGCTCGGAGGCTGAGACCTGGGCATGGCGTTGGGGGCAGGAGAGATGAAAACAGACTCTAAGCAGTGTCGGAGGAAGGGGAAAGTCTTGGGGTTGCAGTGGGAGTGCGCACCGTTTTGTGCTGGTGAAGGGCTGCTTTGTAGCTGCAAGTGGAGGATGTGGTTCTGTGTGAACCACGTGTGCTTTCCTATGGAGGGCAATCAGTCGGGCCCCTTGGGTGCTCTGTTTGGTCAGGGAAGGCGGTTGTGTGGAAAGTCTGTGCATGGGGGCGGGCAGGGAGCAGGGACCCTGCCAGCTCTGTGTGCACGGAGGTGTGGGTTTCTGAAGTTTTCTTCCGTGGGCATGTGTGTGACTAGCAGCAGGTGAGAGCATGTGGAAACATAGGTGCAGCTAGTGAGAAATCCGTGCCTGCGGAGGGTGTCGGAGCAGGAGAGAGGTGCAGTGTGTTGCAGACAGATGGCTTGTGCGTGCTTGCACAGACAGCGGGGTGGGTGTGGCGTGGGAGGGAAAGGTGGCCCAGTGGCCCAGGTTGTTTAGGGTCTGAGGTTTTCAGAAGGGATGTGGGGGAGGTGCAGGAAAGATTATCTGCAGAGAGCAGAACGTGAACTTCACGAGTGATCGCTGGGAAATTTGGCTGGAATGGCATTGGGGTCCATGGGGGACAGAAAAGTGTGGGCTCAGACTTATGGAAAGACTGAGCATTTACAGTGAAGGATGCTGGGGTGGTTTTTACCTTCTCCCCGTCTCCACCTCCCCAAAGAGGAGGGAATTGGAGAAGGCTGAGAATGAGGGATGTACATTTAAGGGGAAAAGTCTTCCGAGTGCTGGCACTGGGCAGGGATCAGGCAGGGTGTATGTGTAAGATTGGAGTGAGCGCAGAAATGTGTTTTGCATGCCTGGAGGCAGAGACTCGTGCTGTATTATATTGTGTAATGGGTTTCTTCTTTGACAGAGGAATTCACCTTCACCAATTAATACTGATTATCAATGAAAATTTATGGAATGCCCACTGGATGCTCAGCCCATGGCTGGGTACTGGGGTGTGGCACTGGGCCCTGGAAAAATTCATTCCCAGGGCTCAGCTGACTGCTGCAGTTTTGCCAGGAGCAGCAAGGGGAGCTTAGTGTTAGCTGAGGTTTCTTCAGGAACTATAATTCAGTTTCTAGAGATGTTATGGATCTCGGAGGCCAAAGGGAAGCTGATTTGAAATATATCTGTGGTTTTGTAAAAGTGGGGCGTAGAGATAAGGCTGATGTATAGTTTTGTGTTTTGTGGAAGGAGCTGGAGGCTGTTCCTGTGTCTTGTAGTGGGGGTGGGCTGGGAACGGGCCACCAGGTCAGAATGCGGGTCGCGATGCGTCTGAGGGTTGAGTTTCCAGGCGCGGCAGGAAGGTGACTGCACCTGTGGAGCTGGAGCAGGGCTGAAGCAGTGGGCAAGGTACAGAGACGCAGGTTGGGAGGGTTTCTTAATCTTTGATGACTTCTGGGCTGTAAGTGTAAAGCTGACATTGTGTGGATGTGTGTGTGCACATGTGTTATGTGTGTGCATACACACCACGGAGCTGGAGTTAAGTAACTAGGAGAAAACTGGCCTGGACCACTGGAGGCAGGTAAATTCTGGCTTTCGTGGGGTAGGGGGATGCACATTTTTGCAGGAATTCTTTGTGTCCGAGGAAGGATGAAAATTGCCTTGGATGCTTAGATGTGTATCTTAAGTTAAAAAGATACAGATAGAAGAGGGCTGCAGGCTTCGGGGGGCAGCTGGGGAGCGGGGGGAGCGTGAAGTTGGTCGGGTTCACACCTGCAGGAGTCTGCTTGCGCCGCACACACCTGCCGACCTGGAACCTCGTCTGTCCGTCTGTTCATGTGAGGGCTGATGTTTGGGAGAAATAAACCTCATTTATTTGACTCATGACGCTTTTGAATTCATGAAATGAGAGCTGTGCCGTTTTGAGGTTCAACCTTATTTTGGGGGGAGCTCGCCTACATAAGAGGGTCGCTACAGGGTTCGAGCCTTGGTCAGCGGCTCCGGTGGTGGCAGTGGTTCTGAGGCCGGCGTGGTGGAGGTGAGAGCCTCGATTCCAGTCCGGTGCTGCCACGTGGGAACTCGGCGACTTTGGGGAAGTTTTTTAACCTCACTGATCCTCTGTCCCTCCTTTTGTAAAATGGCATGGTGTGCAGTGACTCTGTGGAGGGGAGATCACTCTGCCTTCCCCCCAGTCCAAGCTTGACATGTTTAGGGGTACAAAGCTGCACGGCGACTTATCCGGTGCTAGTGTGGATGAGAACCACCGTGAAAACCGGTTCTGTGCCTCGTTCTCTTTACCGCTGGAGTTGGTAAAATAGTCTTAATTCTTACCGCCCGTCTACTGCTCACCCATTGTGCAGACAGGACTTTCTCTCACTGCCTCGGTTTACTCATCCCTAAAATGGGGGCAGCTACACCTAGATCCTTGTTGGTGGAAATCTGCGTCTGTAAAAGATCTTTGAACTGCTCCAAAGAAAGGTGGTCCACAAATCGATGTTATTCATCATCAGAGATCGACGTTTTCTTATTCTGAAAACCATGATGCCAAAACAAATGGGACTTTGAGAAGAAAGAACATAGTCCTTGCTCTTGGCATGTTGGAATAAAAGAGGAGCAAAGGCCAGCCATGCTGGGTCACTAGGAAGGTCTGCGTTTCTCTGGATGTGGGTCCTTGGCAGGCGAGAGCCCGCCTGTGAGAGCCCGGGGAGGGCTTTGGATCTGGGAAAAGGCAGGCGCCCAGTGCAGCAAGTTGGTGCAGCCACTTTCCCCAGAGACAAAAATGGAGACCAAAAAAAGAGGGCGAGGAAACCCACTGAAGCCTCCGAGCCCTCCCAGAAGTCAGCACAGGCTGTCAGCTCCTGGCTCGGAGTCAGCCTCCCATCCCTGAGTTCAGTGGCCATAAATAGTCAGGAGCTAAGCTATTTCCACGAGGCACTAAACCAATTCTGTTGCTTTCCTTGGCGAGATCGGGCCAATTAAGTTGATTGGAAGAGGTCACTGCTGATGGGTCTCACGTTCCCCAGGCGGGACGGGCAGGCCGAGCTTAATTACATAACATTTCCCGTCTCTGCAGCCCCACTCCCAGATGTGTCAGATGTTCAGGCCTCCCCTGCCTCCCCTCCATCCAAGACCACTGATGGAGACCGCGGCTCCTGCTCCAGGCTCCTCGGACCATGTTACCCCAGTGCTCCCACCCCAGCTGCGAGGAATGCAGATCCATGCGTTGGCTCAGGGAGAGAGGGGAGTCAGGCCGACACAGAAGGTCTCTAAGCCCCACCGCCCTGCTCCCAGCCCTCACCAGCTGCCCTTTTACTCTCTAATGAGGCAGGCAGTTTCTGGCGGTGGGGATGTTGAACTAATGACCGTTGCTAGGGTTTTTAGATTTCGTCTTATTTAAAATTGGAGTTTGTTGGAGAAGGACCAACTCTTCTGCTGGAGACAAGCCTGAGACCTGTGTGGTGCTGCTGATAAGGTGTGTGGATACACGTTGTGCGTGGAAGGACGTGTGCAGAGCGAGGGCGGAGCCCGGGCCGTGTGCGTGCTGGGGATACGTGAGCACAGGAGGGGCCCTGGGTGGGCGGGAGGCGGCCCCGGAGCTTGTGTTTTGGGTGGCAGGTATATGGGCGCCTGGCTCAGACTGGACCGTCATCACATGGCTTCTTGCAGAGGAGCCAGCTTGTGGGAAAAGTTGGGAGTGGCTTTTTTTCCCCAGATCATTTGTACATGGGGTTGGAGGATGCGTGAACTTTCAGGAAGTATGAGGTCAGTGCAGATGGTACCTCATTCTTGCCTGGACAGGTTTCTGTTAAGATCCAAACTGGACAAAGGACGACTTCCCGAGGACTCGCTGTCGAACCTGTGAAAGCACAGGTAGATGAGCCGAGATCTTTAAAGTCCTTTTTGCTGTTGTTGAGAGTTTTTGTTGTTGAGAGTTTTTTATGTCAGCATTTCCTTCTACCTAGAAATACCAAGGGGCCAAGTGTGATGCCTCCCTGGGTGGTTAGGAGGCACGGTCGGTTCCACGTCCATGTCGGTGCTGTGGTCCCTCTCAAGCAGTCCTCGTTGGGAACCACCAGAGGTGCTCTGTGGCTCTGGGCATCCTCACAGAACAAACCTCTGACTGTCGATGTGGCTTAGCTGGAAACAGACTTTGAAGTGAGGCTTGCTGGGGTCTGTTGTGACTGCTCACTTTTCTGTGGCCCCAAGGTTTGTATGGGTTTGTCCAGTCAGGGATTTTTGGAAG